TGGTTAGGTTTTGGTTATGTTTGCCTTAAGATGGCTATAAGCTTAGGACTAGATATCAAATAAACTTCCAATTAACTTAAAGTGCAGCCTAGCCCTAATTTGTCAGTGTCAATGAAATAGTGCAATATCAAGGACAACCAAACTTGGATATACAACCATGTTTATACCTAAGGTTCCTTTTTGGTACTCACCAACAAGGATCAACCGTAATTATTTTCAGTCAGAAAGTGTCCTGAGTTTCCGGAAAATTGTAACTTATTACATTTTAAAAATTGAGGGTAAATTAAACGTTTCGGTTCTGGTTTTGGAGCGAGTCCAAGCTCTTGCAGTGACTAATACTTCAAAGGAAGGAAGGTGGGAAGATTTTCATACTACTAATAGCCTTCTTTGAATTCAGCGTGAAAAATACTGGGTAATTTCTATAGTTTCGGCCATTTAGGGGAACCAAACAAATTTTTAAAAACTCTTCTATCTCATCATTTCAGTAAACTATGATATTATTATTTGAATAGAAGTTAAATGTCAAGAAAAAAAATACCGCAAATTATTATTTTTGGGATAGCATTACATTGACCAAGGAATACTCTCAAAGTGTAAAGTTTCCCGAACAAAGCTTGGTCCCCAGCTACTTGTCAAACAACGCAATAATGTACGTTATTTCATAAAATTTGTACCTGAGAAATGTACAAATGGAAAATGCATTTCTCGTAAGTGTAAGCAAATCTTAAAATGATAGGATTTGTAATGATACGATCTTAAAACGAGCAATTCAGTATTCTTATTCAAAACACCAAACACCCGCCACTGGATCAAAATATGCCCGCACGGCGCAATCCGGCACGGTGGGAAGCCCCTCTCGTACAATTTAAATTACGTACATAAGCCAAAAAAAAAAAAAATATGATTTAGAACATTTCACTTTTTGTATACAGAATCCACTGTTTTTAAACTAACCTGACCAAAAAATAAAATAAAGTAGTAGCCGACAAAAAAAGTTCCGTGGAAATTTGCTATGTCACGTTTCATAAAACATTAAAAATAATCAAATTTATTTGAATATTTAAAATGAAAAGTACCGGGGGACCGAGCCGTGGCTCAGTATGTATATTTCGATTGTAAAAGCAATATAAAGGAAACTCGTGTTTTCTTTATAACTAATTTCGGCTTTTATTGTTTAAGTTTCAGTGGAATTTTAATTTACTATGATGTAACTTTAAATGGACAATGCAACACATTAATTTATTTTAATCTTACACATTTCTGTTATTGTAAATAAATCATAGAAATAAAAAAAATAAAAGTAGTATTTTTTTAAATACGTTCCTAATGAATGAATTAATATGCGATCACAGGTTAATACAGTAGCAATCAACTACACAGAATTAAAACAGCACAGTGTATGTAAGGGTGTGATTTATTTCTTGGTACTAAATTAAGTCATTCTTCAAGTATAAGTAAAACTTCAGCATGGGCATACTCTCTAACGTACTATCATATGATGGATTAGCTGAAGGCAGATAAGTCCGATTCAAGCTTATATTGCTTACTATAAAGATTGTTGTAATACAATTAACTTTAACTAGTGGTCGTCCAGTGGTCGAAAACTCGACCAAAAATACGTAATGTACAGGTTTCAAATGATTTAGGCCAAAAACTTTTTTCCCCGTGTGAGTAACTAAGGACTTCTGGATAGTTTAAATATGATATTTATATGTTACTTACTCAGGAACAATGCCGTTCCGGGACACTATATAAATGGACGTTAACGTGATTATAAATTTGCATTTTACATAGTCAAAATACAATAGGTATTGCGCAACCGTGATATGTTAAGCCATTAACTTTGGTTTACTAATAAAAACTACACCGTATGCTTACTCAAACAAAACAAAACTTGCTTACTGTAGAGCAATAAATCACGTAAAGAACAAAACAAAATGAAAATGTAGACTAGAAGACTACTGATACCGTAGTCATCCTAGGCTACTACTACATGATGTTTCAGAACAGAAGTATGGGGATAAAAATATTAAATAACTCATAAAACACCATAAAATCATAGTACTGTACTTAAGTCTTTCTTGTAATAATAACAATGATAAAAATAAGATAAAAATGATGTAAAACACCTCTTATTATTTCTCTTTGTTCTATTCTTTCTTTGGTTTCTCTACATCCACAAGTTGTCATGGTTACTAATCACCCAACGACCCAACCACAAAATATTGTAGTGTTGTGACAGCATACAGAAGCAGACGATTGTCAGTATGTCAGTGTCAGTGCAAGATTGTCAGTCTGTAGGTGCGAGCGTATAGGTTGACCTTGACGATACTGATCGATATTTCTCCGTTTTGCTTCCATCTTATTTTTGTTAAATGAACTGTAATCCTACTAATATTATAAATGGGAAAGTTTGGATGTATGGATGTATGGATGTGTGGATGTATGTTTGTGACAAGTGAACGCGAAAAATACTGGTCGGATTGGGCTGAAATTTGGCATGATGATAACTCACATTCCCGATTAACATATAGGCATATTCTTATTTCAAAAATCATTTCGGGCTCCGCCCCAGTGGCTCTGGAGTTTCCCATGTTAACCTTATGAGAAATGGAATTATTGAATCTTAACAGCTGTTTCAATTAAACAAGTTGGTTCTGTTCTATGATGTTCAATAGCATTAAAGTTACAAGGATTACCAACAGGGTGCAGCACTATTATTTCTTTTACATTTATGACAACAGCTAATTCGCAACCAAAAGGTGAGTGAGCGTAGCGAACGAACTTCAACATGGAGGCGAGTTATCGTAGTGAACGAGCTAATCTGAAGGCAAGTGAGCGCAGCGAACGAGCTCCAACCTAATGGTGAGTGAGCGTAGCGAACGAGCTCCAACCTATAGGTGAGTGAGCGTAGCGAACAAACTTCAACCAGGACATGATTGAGCCATGCGAACGAGATAATCTTGAAAATTAAGAAGCCAACCGGGGCAAAGCCCGCGGGTTACAGCTAGTATTTCAATAATTGGGAACCTACTGCACATAAAAATTACCGTAAATAGTTAAATATATCGTTCATATCGAAATATAAGACTGAAAAACACAGTTAATAAAACATTTTCTTGGGATTTGTGAGGTTATATAATATATAGGCATCATGATGATGCGACTCCAGTTAAGCGAGGTTCTACTGTATTTGCAAGTTAAAGTTACAAATAGAAAACCCATTATATGGTTTGTATTCAATGACCGATGTATTATACAAAATAAATTATAACTTATTTTGATATTAATCAGCAGCATTTATTACAGCTTGCAGCACTTATTGGTATATATAAATATCCCAGTTACTATTAGTAAAAAAAAATAAAACACAAAATTGTGTGGCCATTCAATTTTTATAAACACAGTGTTAAACATTTGACTCTGCAGAATACCGGATGGTAAAGAGTGTTTGGTTTCAAGAAAATAAAATAAAAAATAGTTTAACCTGCTTTACTATTTATTTTGAAAAATAATGGATAGGAAACCATAAGGATAGGTATGGGATTGAACTGAAATAATTGCAGGAAAACTTAAATAGTAAAGTCCACAATCTGTACATTGTTAGAGAGCGAGAGAGAGAGAGAGATAGAGAGATAGATTTGATAAGGAATCTGAAAAGTAAACAAATAATCGTTTCTGGCGTTCGTTATATTGTACCCCCCTCCCCCCCCTATTTTCACTCGTGACCACTTTTTGTTGCTTCCTTATCATTCATCCGTCCCAAAATATAATTCCTGTAATAGTTTGTTTGTAAAATTGAAATTATTATAAAAATATTTTATCTTTCGAGTGTAGTTTCATGGTTATTCTTATCAGATAGAATAATATCGTTGTCATATGTAATAGTTACTCCTTCACGTTACGCAATTGCGTAAAAAACAGTTCCAGTATCTCGGACAAGATTCACGTATATTTCTCGAGATAAAGAAAATCCGTATAGTTCCCGGTCCGTGGAAACACTGTAAATACTAGGATAAAAAATATTGTATAAAGGAGAAGTTGACTAAAATTTCAACTGAAGGTAAAAAAAAATCAAAATAACTTAAAATATGAGATGATGAACGGGTAGGATCAAGATTCAACCAATTATAATTAATTAATATTCGACGATCCTTATTAGAGGTGCATCATATTTATTTGGAGTATGAACATGTTTAAACATTAACACGTAGTTAATCACTATCCCAACACAAATAGTAACAAGGAGTAAACGAAGGTTACAAACCGCTGGGTTTTACCGCTACAAAGTAGGGTAGGGTGCCGTACTGGCTACACTACTCCACGATAGAACACACGATGAGACAGTCTCCGCATTGGTATTGCAGTTACGCTTATCGACACAGGCAGCAGCACCGGTTTGCTGTTTTCATACGTATAAAGTGCACGGGAAGCCATACCTGACTGGCTTATGGGAGAGCTGACTGGCTTTCGGGCGGGTGACTGCCACACCGAGTAAATTACCAGCGCACTGACTGCCAAACCGGGTGGGCACAAAAGTATATATATATATATATATATATATATATAAATTTGAACGAATGGTGTTTTTGGCCTCTGGGGACATCAAAATGAAAAAGTAAATCGGTCCCGGGCCTAGGTCTTACCATGAGACCTACGGTAATAGCTACTTCCCTATAGGGAAATTTGCTAATACGCAAGCAGTTTTCTTTTCACAGTCATAACTCGATAACGGCATGACGGATTTTAACGTTTGAGGTGTCAAATTAAAGGTATTTTCACGTAGATATGCAAATGCGTCTCAAAATATTAAGAAAGGACATCACTTAAGTACAGTTAAGGGCTAAAGTTTGGGAACGGTGGTGCTATCTGTTGACATTAGATCAAACCATCAAACTCAATTCCCTTTGTTTACACAACTATAAATTATATTATATCGGATGCTAGATCAAGCATTGACAACAGACACTCAGCTAACTTGTTGCTGGAACAAGCCTTACATGTGGCACTGATGGAACTCCCAGAGGTGTTTTGGCACAGAGGGACGGAAGTCTGCTGTTCCGGCATTCAGGATCCTCGCAGTGAATCTGAGAAGTCTCCGGGACTCCAGGTGCCAACTGTAGGGCTGCTCCTGTTGGATCTTGTAAGCCTGGAACCAACACTTTCAGGGTAAATATAAGTGTTACTAGTAATGTGTCTGAGCAAGGGTGCTGCTGATTTTATTAGCGAATTTCCCATATAGGGAATAAGCTATTACCGTAGTACTCATGGTAAGACCTGGACCCGGGACCGATTTTTTTTTTCGTTTTGAGGTCCCTAGAGGCCAAAAACACCATCCGTTCAAATTCATATATATATATATATATATATATATATATATGTGTGTGTGTGTGTCCGTTAGCGCGATAACTCGAGCAAAAATGATCCGATTTTGATGAAATTTGGTACAAACGTGTAAACCTACGTTTATTCGAACGAGTTCGCGAACTAGCATGATCGGACCATGGGAACAGGGGTTTATGGGGGCTTTTATGGGGTAAAAATGGGTTTTTCCTATTTTTGACCCAAAAAACATAAAATTTTGAAATTTCTTTCCAAACTATTTAGTAGAGCTTAAAAAAACAAATAATTTAGTATATTGAAGCGTTATAATGCGCCTAATAGTTACGGAGAAAATTCCAAAAAATTTTTAATTTAAAATTCCCATGTTATTCTTATGGAGAATAAGTAAACCGTTGTAGTGTGCTTGTTTATTAACATATTTTGCCCAAATTTGGAAAATGTTTTTATTTCTTACTAACTATTAACATTTTACATAAAAAAAACACTTTTACCCTCCCTGTTGCAGCAAACCTAAGTATGTGTTAAACTGATTCTATTTAAATAGGGAACAAATGTGATATTTTTAGGATATTTTTAAAGGAGACATTTTAGTCTAAATCCAATCAGGCAAATGGAAATTCGCTTAGTCTGCAGGTTTGCTGCGGCGGGGGTATTATTGAGGTGTGATAGATCATAATCTGCGTAAGCCGATTGAGAGACGATTGGCTTGAACTTGTTTACATGAGGCAATGAGGGGCGCCTTCCTCTTGTCTCTCCTCTTGGTACCCCGATGAGAGCTCTTGATACACTTAGTCGAAACTCGTTTAGAAGTAGAGGTTTTCCCATGTCTGTGGAATTTGAGTTGAATATGACCAATGCATTGACTACTGTTGTATCCAAGAAGTGAAAGAAAAGTCTATGCCACCACTTTTTTGATTTTCTGTCGATGGCATACGCAGATTTTAGCATATCAGCCTTGTCTACATAACCCATGTGGTTGTTGTAATCCTTTACCAAAGAAGGACAATTCACCACTTTTATTGATCCGTCATGCTGCTTCCTGTTGACGGTGCTTCGTTCATTTGGGTTGTGGTAATTAGACACGAAATTTATTCCTTTTTTGTCCTTCCATCTTACAGCTACAATTCCTGCTCTTGTTGACATGAAAGAGAATTCGCCATGTTCCATGAGTTTACCGTCTGGAAACATTCATTAGGGAAAAATACTCTGTCGTAATTTATAGTACCACATGCTTGAATGTGGTTCTGTTGTAGGTATATCATCAAAGGAATTGAGTTGAAAAAATTATCAAAATACACTCTGTAATTTTTTCCTATTAGTTCCGTAGTCAGGTCTGTGACAACTCTTTGGCCCAAGGCTGTTTCAACTTTGTTCTGCTTCTTCCCTTCGTATACCTCGAACTTCGATACATATCCTTTATCATCAGCCCTCACCCAAATTTTGTAACCACGCTTTGTGGGTTTATCAGGCATGTACTGCTTCAAAGAGCATCTTCCCTTGAAGGGGACCATGCTCTCATCGACCGATTGGTATTCAGATGGGCAATACGAGGTTTTGTAGTATTCTGAGAGTTTGTTCAAAAGCGGCCTGATTTTATAAAGTTTATCATAATCAGGGGAACCTCGAAGGGGCATATCATTGTTGTTGTTTATATGGGGATTGTTCAGCATCCAACCAAATCGGTTTACAGACATGGCTGAAGCTATATATGAATCTCGAAGCTCAGGCATAGAGGACCAATAATCTCTGTATGATGGCAATTTCTTTATCCCCATGAGAATATTTATTCCAAGAAAGACTTTCATTTCTCTTTTGTCCGTTGGGTTTCTAAGAACACCACCCCCATTTTGCGTTGCATAAATGTTGGTTTGATATACTAACAGTTCAACTAACTCATCAGTAAAGAGAGCTGAAAATGCATCAATGGGATTTTCTGTTTCTACCTGAGGACCTGTAAGTTCATGAAAACCCTTTAGAGCACGGTGGGATCACTGTGATCCCACCTTATTTTTCTTTTATTACTAGTTCTTGCACAGTGGGACAAGTGTAATCCCACCATCAGGCAGTGACTAGAGCTTCACTCTAGCGGATTTTCATAGATACTACGTCAATATTCACTATTTTACTGGACAACCTCACTTGTTAGTGACAGTTGCTGCTACTTGAGCAAGCTGCTACGTCAAGCTGTAATTTTTTGGTTCAAACTACTCGAAATAACAAAAGAAGGTGTGTATAGTATGTTTTTTCTGTTCCTTAGTGATATCTTATAATGAATTATTATGTGAAATGATGATACTATTGTAAATGTTGGAAAAAATTGATAAAATGTAAGTGGGTTCACTATGAACCCACTGAGCATTTTGCATGCTTACTTGTACAACATAATTTTATATAGTTGAAAGACTTATATGTGTTTTATTTTACTAAGAATCACTTTTTATGAAATGTACAACTGAAACAGCTGACATACCTTCCGGTCCAGAATCAGAGGATGAAGAGGAAGCAGATGTGGCCAGCTTACAAGACAACATTGTGGGTAACTATGTTGTATCAGAAGATGGTGTTTTGCTTCAAAACAATGATTTCTTGGACTTAGCCCAGGACATAGTCCTACCCTGGGCACTGTGAGGAAGTTTCCTCCAGAGCACTAGACCTTATCAAGGGTGGTAAGGGTCGATAAGTGAAAGACTCTGGGTATCTCAAACTTCCATTTTATTCCCTGATATCCTTATCCTAACACATATGTTTATATATACAATATTATATACAGTCTTGATCCTGGGTCCGTAGTCCTCCTACCAGGCAGTGTCTCCGGGCTCGTATTCAGGGGTTGGGCAGAGGTTGGATCAAGTCTTTGCTTGCGCCCTTACTGGCCCGGTGGTCTACGACACTCCTAAAAGATATCCGTGTGGGTCCGCGGTCTAGATCCTTGGCACCTTCACCCCGGAATCCTCGGTCCCCTAGCTGCTGCTCTCCACTGGAGACGGTTCTGACTTTCCAAGCACAGAAGTCAAGCTGGGCCGGTTTAATGTGCTACTGCTCTCCACTGGAGACGGTTCTGGCGTCACTTGCTCAGAAGTTAGCACTCTCTAGGCAGTCTACTCGGTCTGCAGTCCGACGTAAACTCCTTCAACACTTAGCGTATACCTATGTATATGCTTTAAAGGTGGTGGGGGACTCCAAAGTCCTCCCCTCCACCTACGACTACGGACCCGCGGGCTCAACACGCCCATGCGAGGGTGTCGGTGGCTCAACACGCCCGTCCGACAGTGCTGGTGGCTCAACACGCCCGTCCAGCGGTACCCGTGGCTCAACACGCCCATCAGGTAACTCGCGGGCTCAACACGCCCATGCGAGGGTGCCGGGGGCTCAACACGCCCGTCCGACGGTGCCGGGGGCTCAACACGCCCGTCCGACGGTGCCGGGGGCTCAACACGCCCGTCCAGCGTACCCGTGGCTCAACACGCCCATCAGGTGTCTCGCGGGCTCAACACGCCCATGCGAGGAGGTCGGGGGCTCACCACGCCCGTCCGACGGTGCCGGGGGCTCAACACGCCCTTCCAGCGTACCCGTTGCTCAACACGCCCATCAGGTAACTCGCGGGCTCAACACGCCCATGCGAGGGTGCCGGGGGCTCAACACGCCCGTCCGACGGTGCCGGGGGCTCAACACGCCCGTCCAGCGTACCTGTGGCTCAGCACGCCCATCAGGTGTCTCGCGGGCTCAACACGCCCATGCGAGGGTGCCGGGGGCTCAACACGCCCGTCCAGCGTACCCGTGGCTCAACACGCCCGTCAGGTAGCTCGCGGGCTCAACACGCCCATGCGAGGGTGTTGGGGGCTCAACACGCCCGTCCGACGGTGCCGGGGGCTCAACACGCCCGTCCAGCGTACCTGTGGCTCAGCACGCCCGTCAGGTAACTCGCGGGCTCAACACGCCCATGCGAGGGTGCCGGGGGCTCAACACGCCCGTCCGACGGTGCCGGGGGCTCAACACGCCCGTCCAGCGTACCCGGGGCTCAGCACGCCCATCAGGTGTCTCGCGGGCTCAACACGCCCATGCGAGGGTGTCGGGGGCTCAACACGCCCGTCCGATGGTGCCGGGGGCTCAACACGCCCGTCCAGCGTACCCGGGGCTCAGCACGCCCATCAGGTGTCTCGCGGGCTCAACACGCCCATGCGAGGGTGTCGGGGGCTCAACACGCCCGTCCGACGGTGCCGGGGGCTCAACACGCCCGTTCAGCGTACCCGGGGCTCAGCACGCCCATCAGGTGTCTCGCGGGCTCAACACGCCCATGCGAGGGTGTCGGGGGCTCAACACGCCCGTCCGACGGTGCCCGGGGCTCAACACGCCCATCAGGCCCCACACCGGTGGCTCAGCACGCCCATCCGGCGGGGTCGGGCCCGAAGGCCCAACTGAGTCAACTGACTTCTCGGTGCCAAACACTGTAATATTACATGTCATTCATTCATCATTAACATTAATTTCTCTTTTATTTTGTATATTTTCTCTCATAATGTCTGTTAATGCCCCTGATAATGTGTTATCAGTTATTTAATTTGTTCCCCTTGTTAATGTGTTATTTTATCCAATTTTGTTAAATGTTATATAATATCCCATCACCCCACAGAAACATCATCCTATTTTATGTTACAATATAATATTTATGCCAATTTTCACCATACCTATCCTGTACTCATCAAAAACCAACAATAATCATTTATTTAGAATCTATCTATATATTAATAGGCAAGCATGTTTCTTTAAAACCTTTTTTCTCAGCTCGTGTGCATCGTAGGGAAAATC